GAACCAGTCCCACCACTTGTTGAGTAGAGCATTTTTATCAAAGTGGCTTTAAAAGATCTTGCAGGTCACCCTGTTCCAGTTCCTGCAGAGTCTCAGCCTGGCATCACCCAAAAAAGGCTGGCAGGTTCCTCTCGAATCCCAGAGCCACCTTGGGATTCAAGAGAGGAGCCTCCCACTCTTTTTTTAAAAGCAGAGCTGATATTAAATGAAATTATCATAAGGGCTACTTCAGCATTTAACTCTTTGGAGAAGCAAATCCTTCCCAGAGTGGCATCTCCCACTAGAGGAAAGAATTCCAGGTAGGACACAGAAGTATCTGGAAATGGTGCTCTGCAGGCAAGGCAGCTGTCCATCAGCTATAAATTTGGAACATTTGGATTAAGGAGACTGAAGGAAGTGGTTGGGACTCTGCTTTCATTCCCAACAGGAAATTTAAATCAAGGAGGAGTCAGGAAGCTGCAGGCCCACTTTCCCTTCTAGGTGTGTCCAGGGACAACATCCTCCTGCTGGGGACAATTGCTGAGTTGCATCCAGGTGCTCTCCATAGGATCCAAACATCCCTGTACAAGGAGAGGTTTCCATTCAGCTCTTGGGGAGTCTGAGCCTCAGCACTGGGCACAGTTGGTCTCTGTTTCAGTGCTCCCGGTGTATTCCGAGCTTCAGAAGCTGCACCATTGATTTCCACTAATTATAAATCCTATAGAAAGTTCTCAGCTTGCAACAGTCACGGTTTGGCTCTCAGTGGAGTCAATAAAAGTTAAGAGTTGCTCCCTGGTTGCTGTCATTACAACAATAAACCCCGGAGTAATTGAAAAGTGAATCAGGGAAATTGCCGGATTGGAGAGCAGTGAAAATAGAAGGAATTACCAGGGAGCCCAAGCAGAGCCTTGTCCCTGCCTGCACCAAGCTGGAGTCTATCTGGACAAACTGATAAGTGTGTCATGGTGGACATGTCTTGAGCAAGGGGCAAAGCAGGAGCAGTGACCATGTCCTTGCCAAGAGGCTGAAAATTCAGTGCATGACCCAACAAGGGTGATTTTGAACCCCTACCGAGATTGTTCCGCTTCCTAAAAGGCAAAAATGACAACAAAATAATAAAAAAAATCATTTCTCCCTGTATTAGAATAAAACTCAAAAGCAAGAACTGGAGATGCAGCACAAGAGGACAATTATTTCCTACTAGATAGGTCAGCTGGTACAGGAAGACCCAAATCCCCTCAGGTCCTTACTGTTTGCACATCTTTAAGATTAGATGATAACCAGGGTTTTGTTTGGAATCCAGGCAGCTGGAAGCAAAGCAAGGTTGGAGGACAGTAGAGTCTTCTTGGTGACAATGCTGGTAGAGAGGGAGACCTGCAAAGGCTTGGACAGGCTGAGAAAACTGGGACTGTTCGTCCTGGAGAAGTGAAGGTTGTGTGGAGACCTCAGGGTCTGAAGGCGCAACAAGGAACCTGGAGAGGGGCTGTTCATCAGGAACTGGGGAGACAGCACAAGGGGAATGGCTTCAAACTGACAGGGGGGAAATTTAGGTTGGAGATATGGAAGAAATTGATCTCTGTGAGGGTGGGGAGGCCCTGGCACAGGTTGCCCAGAGAATCTGTGGCTGCCCCAGCCCTGGAAGTGTCCAAGGCCAGGTTGGAGCAACCTGGGCTGGTGGAAGGTGTCCCTGCCCATGGCAGGGGGTGGGACTGGATGAGCTTTAAGGTCCCTTCCAACCCAAACCATTCCAGAATTCTGATTCTTTATTCATAGGAAAATTCAAGAAATCTGCAAGAACATGACATTTTAAGAATGGGACATCAGACTTGGGCTGAGAAAATTGAGATTGTTCAGCCTGGAGAAGAGAAGCTTTTGAGTGACCTGATTGTGGCCTTTCAGTGCCTGAAGGGGCTACAAGAAGATGGAGAGAGACTGTTTACAAGGGAATGACAGGACAAGGGGGAATGGCTTCACACTGCCAGAGGACAGGGTTAGATGGGATATCAGGAAGGAATTGTTCCCTGTGAGGGTGGGGAGGCCCTGGCACAGGTTGCCCAGAGAAGCTGTGGCTGCCCCTGGATCCCTGGAAGTGTCCAAGGCCAGGTTGGAACAACCTGGGCTGGTGGAAGGTGTCCCTGGCCATGGTAGGGGGTGGAACCAGATGATCTTTAAGGTCCCTCCCAAACCATTCTCTGATTTATGATTCCATAATTCTAAGACTGAGGAAAGGAAAAATAGATGTCAGCATCGGCAGTGGTGTGTCCCAAGGTGAGTCTGGACACCTGTAGCTATGGAGACAGACATGAAGGAGCAGAGGGATGATCCAGAGATGATGTTCTTCCAACACAGTCATCTTGGGACATAGTGAGGCAGATCCTGAAGCAATCAGTTGGCTTTCTGCAAGGTCAGGAAAGCCCATGTAAAGTCTGTGAGCACTTCCAGTATGAGTCTCACACGTCCCTGCAGATATCCTCAAAAAAGGATGCAAGTAAAGAGAAGGTCTCAGAGACACTGCTCTGGGCTGTGGAGCACCCACACGGGTGAGCATCCACCTGGTGATGGGTGAACACAGGTTTTGAACAGCTTCTGGAAGCACTGTTCCTTTGGAACAGCTTCTGGAAAGACCCTGGAAGTGTCCATGGCCAGGTTGGATGGGTTCTGAGCAACCTGGGCTAGTGGAAGGTGTCCCTGCCCATGGCAGGGGTGGAACTGGATGAGCTTTAAGGTCCTTTCCAACCCAGACCATCCTGTGATTCCATAATTTGCTGAAGGCAGAAAAATCAAACCCCTAAACTCCAACAAAAGAAGTCTGTATTGGCCTCAGAGAACTGTCCCTGAGCCAAGAAGAAACTCAGCACAGGTTGAAAATGACCCCGCGATGTGATGGAATGGGGCAACCACGTGCTGACAGGCTGCTCCTCCTCAGATGGAGTGACCACTAGGATGAAATTAAGGTTTTGCCATATGGGTGGACTCAGGAAGAGTTTTCAGGTTGAAGTTTCCCAGGACAAAGACCCCAAAGGAATGAAGGATTGGGGTGTTAGGGGAGAAAACCTCGCTTTTACCAGCAATCAGCACTGCAGGAAGGCACCCAGGAGGGCTGCAAACCCCGGGCAGCTCTGCAGACCTCCACTAACACACTTCCCACCCTGCTGGGAGGTTCCCATCGGTGAGCCCCCATTCCCACCCCTCTGGTTGCCAAGAGAAACGCCGTTTGGAATCCCACAGGTTGTCAAATCCGCAGCTGCTCGGCTTGACTTGCTCTCCTAACATGAAAGACAGAGTCTGGAGGGTGAGATTTCCTCGTGCACATCAAAGCAGGATGGAAATTTGGGACTAAATGCCGGGGGAATTTGCAATCCAGCTTTGAAGTGTACAACGAGGAGCCACTGGTGACAATGGCGTGCTGCCTATTTTTAGCTCTGAATCCCTGAGGAACAAGGACAGCAGCAAAAACACCAAACCCACCAGACCTGCTTTGCAGAGAAATGCTTTTCATCTGGGCCAAAGGCAGGAACTTTGCTGTCCACTTTTCTACACCAGGTTTTGGACTGTGGCAGGAAAGAAGGGAATAGAATTGTAGGAATCGGTGGTTCTAAGGACAGCTGGGGAAATACAGATCAGTGTGTGCAAATCTGCCTGTACACACACAGTTGTGGCTGAACGTTTCAGGGTCCAGATTTAATCAAATTATTTCTCTTAGTTTTCCCTTGAGGATTAATGATTTTGGATCTGTGTGATGAGATGTGCAGCAGTGCTCAGGGAAGACAATGTCAGAGCAGCTCGGAAGTGATAAGAATACTAAGATGGGTTGAGTTGGAAGGGACTTTAAAGCTCATCTTGTTCCAACCCCCTGCCATGGGCAGGGACACCTTCCACTGTCCCAGGTTGCTCCAATCCCCATCCAACCTGGCCTTGGACACTTCCAGGGCTGGGGCAGCCACAGCTTCTCTGGGCAACCTGTGCCAGGGCCTCACCACCCTCCCAGGGAAGGATTTCTTCCCAATATCCCATGAAACCCTGCCCTCTGGCAGTAGGAAGCCCTTGTCCTATCACTACATGCCCTATCCTGTCCCGTTTGCTCTGTCCTCATCATGCTGAGGGAAAGGAGTGGGAATTTCTCCCTGCACCACCCACTCCCAGTTGGCATCACCTTTCCTCCACTCCAACATTACCCCGGGGGTGTTTGGCCTTTCTGGGCTTTCTTGGAGGTGGGTGGTTCAGATGAGGCTGGACAATCCCTGGTTCTCACTGTTTGCTGAGGGAGAGCCCATTTTGGGCTGTAAGACCTGAGTTGAAGGTGCTGGGTAGAGGAGGATCATCTCCAGCACTGGGGAAGATCATCATGGCTTGGAGCATTTCCATCCATCTTTCCTGACTGCTCTGAGGGCTCAGGGACACTCCTCCCTTGCCCTGGCACAGCAGCCAGGGTGAGTGCCCTCTCTGCTGTACCCTTAGCAGGTGTTAATAGCACAAACAGCCACATGTGCAAAGTTCTGCTGCTGCAAAATGTCCTTTCCTACGTATTCTTCAGGAATCATGGGTTTAACATTTGCTTTGTGTGAGAACATTTACCCACTGGATCTACAGCACAGGTCAGCTCAGGGGGAAATGTTCTCTGCTTGTTCTTGCCACACAGGCACAACTGGAGAGTTAGGAATTGAAAAAAAAGGGGGCAGAAACAAGGCTGTGACTCGTGGCAAAGTGCAAGAGCTACAAGGGGGATCCCTCAGGGGTTTGTGTCTGTTGGAGTGGCCAAGATGATACTGAATTGCTGCCTCTCCAGCCTGGAAGACCCTCCCTGACACAGGGCTGTGTCTCTCTGCTCCTCCACCAGCACTAAGGAGCTCCAGCAACATCCATTTGCAGCTTTAGGGTAAAATGAACACGAAAGAGCAACATTTGCAAAGTTGAAATGAGGGTGGTAAAACACGGGTAGGGAACTGTGGCACTGCCCTGCTGCCCTCATTCCTCTGGGTGCTCTGTCTCTAACTGGGTCTAACTGGGTGCTCTTCCCACAGTTTGACATGCAGAGGATAACGCTGGAGGAGCTGAAGCACATCCTGTACCACGCCTTCCGCGACCACCTCACGATGAAGGACATCGAGAACATCATCATCAACGAGGAGGAGAGTCTCAATGAGAACTCTGGCAACTGCCAAACAGAGTTTGAAGGTGAGGGAGGAACTTTCTGGGTTTCTAAACAATTATCCTCTTCCTGATTTGTCTGTAAAACCCACTCTGTGCCGTGACATGCAACGGGCAGGGAGGTGTGGAGTTAGTGGGGAGTTATTTTAGAGAAGCAATGACACACTTGGAGAGCTGCAGAGCTGCCACCAGCCTTCCTCCGTGGATCAGTAAAGATGAGCCTGGTTCAGGCAGGAGGAGGAACTACTGGGTGCTTTGCCTTATGGCAAAATGGGATGGGATTCAGCCAAAGGGATGTGCAGCCCATGCTGAGGTGAGTGTCTAAGACAGACTGAATTTCCCTACAGAAACTTCCATATTTCCCTCAGGCTGTCATGGAAAGACTTCATTGGCCCTACCAAGGTGTGTTAGGCTCTTCCAGCTTTCTGTTGTCTTTCCATAAACAGAAAAAGGTCTGCTCTGGGCTCCCAGGGAACAGCTGAGATGAGTCCTGACCCTGCACTGGAACACCAGCAAGGAGCAAGGGTGGTACCCGTGGCCTGGGGCACCTCTTGTTCTGAGCTGCAGGTTCAACCAGGACAGCTCATCTCAGCACCTGAGAGTGTCTGCAAAGTCAAGGGCTAAGCAGAGCTCAGAGGGAGCCAGAGAAAGGGAAACATTTGCTTCCTCTCATCAGTGTGAGAAGGGCACCAAGTGCTCCCCAACTCAGCCTCTGCAGTGGGGTTTGCACTTTGACAGAGCTGACACTGGCAAGAACATTCCCTCTTATAAGGCATCTCAGGAGAAGGATTTTCTTGGCCAGAGGAGCTTGTGCTGCTCCAAAGCATTGCTGGTTGGAACAACTGGAGCTGTCCAGAGAAGCTGTGGCTGCCCCATCCCTGGAAGTGTCCAAGGCCAGGTTGGAGCAACCTAGGGCTAGTGGAAGGTGTCCCTGCTCATGGCAGGGGCTGGAACAACATGATCTTTAATCTTCCATGATTCTCTGAAATCTTCCTAAGTGCAGAAGAGTCCAAGGAAATACCCCCAGAGAACCTGCAGGGTTGAGCACAACCCCCTGGGACAGCCACTGTGCTTTGCCACCCACAGCACTGCCACTTTCTGTGGGCCATCTGGGGGGAAATTCTGATACTCTGAGGGGTCAGACAAGCTTCTGAAAGGGCACCAGGCCAAGACAATGAAGCATCTTTCAAACAAAGCAAAGCTGAACCTGTTAGTGCAATTCTTAGCCTGGCTAATGAATGGCATTCAGCAGCTCTATCCAGCACACTGAATACTGCAAGAGAGGTGGAGAAGAGCACAGCTGAATTTTAAAAAGACTGCAGGAGAGAGGAAAGCAGCAACACTCCCTGAATCAAGCCAAGCACCATTTTTTTTTGTTCCTCCTGGAGAGCAGCAGGGAGGAAGAGATGCTACTTATTGAATGGAGCTGTCAGTCCCCATTGACCTGCTGATTCACTGGAGGCACGAGCCAGTTCAGGCTCATTTCAGCTCTGGGGTTTGGGTTAACCATCCCAATCACCAGGAAAAAAAATTGAGTCCAAATACCTCAATGCTCAGCAGCTCGTTTTGGAAGTCCCAGCTTCCAAAAGTACAGCAGGAACAGCTTTTCTCGTGGGATGTTGGCATTGCTGGTGCCAGGCAGAACCTGGAAGCAAAACAACCCCGTTTTTAGATGTTAAAAATACACACACACAAATCCAGCAGGGAATACAGATCAATTTGACCCTGTCAAGAGCAGTGCAAAGTTTTGCTCCAGGTCCCAGAAGAAGGGACAGTTCTGGTCCGTGGCAGCTCTGACAGGAGCGTTTCTCCCAGGAAAAGGCAGGCTGGGAGCAGGTTGTGTCCCTGCTGCTCTCCAGGTTGGACATGCCAATACCTGAATGACCCAGTTCTGCTCTCAGAGTTCCCAGTTCCCAAACACCAAGATCCCTACAGGGCTGAAAAGCAGAGCTTTGAGGGTCTCCTGGGTCAGTGACACCGTGGCAGAGCTGTCTCTGTGTAAATCACTCATGTGTGGAGTAAGGCAGATGCTTTTTGGGTATAATTCCTGGAGTTTATTTTAGGTGCCACCTTGGGATGAGATGAATTGCACCTTAAAAAGCAATTCAACCCTTCAAATAGCAATTCAACCCTTCAAATAGCAATTCAACTGTTCCTCTCAACCCACAGAACCTCCCACCTCTATTTAATGGACATTTCATCCACCTCATTGAAGAGGCTTTGATAGGAATGAGGCCAAGATGAGCCCTGATGGTTTTTAGTGGGATTTTAGAATGGCTTAGAAAGGAGGAGATGTAGCAGATACTTCCAGTAGTACCTTGAAAGGGGAGATCTGCACTCACTGTCACCTCTGGGTGTGTTCTTGCCTTCAAAAGAGCAGCCCCCAAACCTCCTCCCTGCTGTGGGCACAGACATCCCCCCTTCCTCACAGCCCTGCCAGGTGTTTAAGGGTCTTGCACAGGTAACAGAACCATCAGTACAAATATATTCCAATTTCTGCCATTCTCACAGATTTGCCCTCTTGGCTGCTTGTCATGATAAGGTCTTTATGTGATATTTATGATTATGTAACATTCCTTCTATATTGACATGGATTATAGACCTCATACCTCTCACCCACACCCCCTTTACCCCACATACCATATTTGTATTATAGCCAGGGACAAGTCCAGGATTTTATTCAGTTCATTTTGAACATTAAAGTCACTTGTAAGACATCAAATCTAGGGAAAGACTACACCAGAAGAGAGGCACAGTTATGTCTTCAGCCTTTATTTCTGTTTTTATTAATGCTTAGGGCAGGACAACAAAGATTAGATGTTTTTATGAGACACGAGAAAAGAACAACTGTTTGCAGCAACCTTGTGCTGCCAAAAATTTATAGTCCAAACCCCATTTGTCTGGCAGTTCCCTTTATCCAAACACTCAGGACATTAAGCTGGTGGCAGACAAGGGTTTGGGGTGGTTGTGGTGACCTGAGCTGTCTGTCACAGGTATTTTATCCTCAGCCCTGACACTCCAATCAGCTGGATGTGCCAGAGCCCCCTCCCCGCTCAGCTGAGGGCTTGGGAATGAAAAACTGGCCTCTTAAAACAACAATAACTCCAGCCACAATCCCTCACCCCTGGCAGGGTGGTGACAGAGCCACCATAAATACACTGCAGCTGTCCCTGGGAGCAGGGCTTTGGGGCAGGGGAGGAGGCTCTCAGGGCTCCCCTGACCACCCCAAACCCACCGTGGGCATCATGACCAGCCCAGAGCCACAGCCAGGGGGGCCTCAAATGGTCTGGCCCCATCAACCTCATGTCCTGGGGGAGAAGTTACAGTGACAATGGCTCTGTCTCTGCCCTTAATGACACCAGGGCGAGGTCTCCTCACTCCCTGGGTGCTGAGCAGGTGCAGGATGACCCAGCCTTGATTTGCCTTTGCTTCTTGAGCTCTCAGTGATGTTGGACAGCCCGGGGGTGGCACCTCACCCCGAGAAGTTTGAGGATCTCTCCAGAGGAGCTCCAGGTTCTGACCATGTACAAGGAACCAGCTCCCACGGGTGGTGTCAGAAACTCCCACTGGCAACCAAATGCCAAAGGGATGGAGCATCCAGCCCTGAGCCAGTGGAATCAGCAGGAATAGCACAGATGCCAAGCTCAAGGGATCTGTGGATTTGGAGAAGGGACAGAACTGAGGGCAAACCATCACCACTAAGCAGGGGGGGCTGCTGGGTGCTCATGTTTAAGAGGGCACTTCACAGGTAACTGCTCCCAGGGAGGAACATCAGTAATTCCAGGTTCTCTGTGTCCCTGGGGATTGCCGGGGCAGGGGAACTGTTACGACATCTGCGAGCCCCAACCAACAGCAAGAGGGTCTTGTTGGGTCTTCAGCACCCTACAGACCTTTTCCCTTTCTCCTGGGGTTATTTGGGAGGTGATTTGCATATTTGGTGTGCCTTCAGTCTGTGAAGAACAGCCACGACAACTTCCCTGGGTCCTGCTGCCTCAAAGCTCCATTTTTCCTTGCTGATAGAACAGAAGTTGTTCAATCCAGGAACATTTCTGCCAGAAACACTGGCCATGGTTTACTCTTCCTCTGAAGAGGAGAGTTGCCATCACCAAAGGCCCAGACCAGTGTTCAGCTTCTGTTCCCCATCACCACAACCAGCCCCAGAGCCCCTCACTGAACAGCAGTGCTGACACTGAGGGCTGGTGCCAGTGCTGTGTCTGCTGCCTGGGAGTGTTTTCAAATAAAATAATAGAAAATAAATCGAAAAATAGTAGAAAAAAAATAGAAATAAATAGAACGAAGAGAAAAAGAAAGAAAGAAAGAACCACAACCACGAAGTGCCAGAGCACCGTGCACAACGCCAAGGAGCCACAGTATTGATTCTGTGAGCTTTATAAAGGAATTAAGAGGCGAGCAGTGCAAGCAGAAAGGGAGGAATTTGGGAAAGCTGCTGTGAGGGGGGGTTTCATTACCTGCCCAGGGCACTGGCAGTGCAGAGTTTCCCTGCCCAGGGCACTCTTGACTCCAAGTCCTGCCTAAGGAGGCTTCTTGTGCCTCAGGTACTGAGTGGGGAATGGTGTGGGAGCTGAGATTGGGACACAGGCACTAAACACCAGCCAGGGAAAGGGATGGAGGATAAATCTGCTGTTCAAAATGCAGCTTCCTGTGCTCAGAATCACAGAATATCTGAGCTGGGAGGGACCCCCAAGGATCATGAAGTCCAACCCTCAGCCCTGCACAGGCCCAGCCCCAAGAGTCACCCCC